GACTACAGTTTCGGGATCCACTTGGATTCCATCCTCAGGTCTGAAACTGCGGATGGAATCCAGGTGGATTTCGAAACTGTAGTCTCACTTTCAATAAATCTAGTTTTATATTGTGTTTTTTCTACCATATCTACTGCTATTGGCTTGTCTTTTCACGTTTAGCCTAGCCAGTCAAATAATTCATATCTTTATACATTCCATAAGTCTAACTCTGGACATATCCATTATGCACAGTGTATTATAAATAAACAACCCTTTTCAGCGTACATTTATGTCCTTCAGTTTTGCTAAGGGGCAGTCAACTCACAGTTATAAAGTGTGCTCAAAGTATCACAGCAAATGCCAATAAAGATCATGCTAGTAAACGTCCCCAGCCATTTATTGTTGCGTAAAACATCGGTCATTCTAGTCTTCTCTGTTCGGGGATCCCTAGACAGCCACGCTGAGTGTCTGCTAACTACAGAGTGGGAGAATCTTCGTCAAGAAAAGAGCATGAACATTGGATGAACAATGGACCCTACAACCTGAAGTTCAGCATACTCCCCAAGTTGGGTCAGGTCCACAGCCTCGTCCTCGCTCTCTCACCAGCCGGACACATCTCGGCTCTCTCACTGGACCGCAGGCTCCCAATTCATTCCCAATTCGCTTACTTAAGCCGCAGAATCCGGAACCGAGATCAGCTTGCTGTATGCATATGAAAAGACTGCACTGTGAATGGCTAGTAATAGGAAGACAAATATAATAATCAGGGACGTGACAAAAGCTTTCAACAAGGTCTGGCCTACCAACACTTCCTCAAACTCCTCAGCAACTTCCTTGACGGCAGAAATGCAAATAATAGTCGGCTTCATTGGTGATGAATTCCCACTCCAAAGGGGAGTTCCACAAGGAAGCACACTCTCACCAACTCTATGCATAATCTACACCTGACCGATCCCACAACCTACCATTAATTACCATTTATATAATGTATTCAGGCGACATTACTTAGATACTCAGCCACCCATTACCCCAGAAACGCTTCGTAAGACTCGCTATAGACAGAAGAGTGAGCAGCATTAATGAGTTCGAGGCTAACTGGAAACTTAAAACAAAGCTTAACAAAGTTCTGGTAATTCCCGTAGCCAGAATAAGGCCAGAGAACTTCGATCTCAGTGTTATTAACACTAATTATAGCAGAGAAAGCAATCTCCTTGGGCTAAAGATCACAAGCACAGGTATGCTAGCGTATGTGAAAGAAAGTGCAGAGAAATCCAAAAGCATTCTAATAAAACAATTTTTTTTTTTTTTTCTGGCTGCACACAACCTGTAAAAATACGTTTCTACAAGGCTCTGAGCAGACCCATCGTCGAATATCCTCCAGCTCTTCTCAATGTTGTCTCCAAATCCTCAGCGACTTTACTTAACCCATTGCCGCCGGGGAAAATGAACAAAAAATGGAGAAAATGCTGTGCCTATTTTCTATATTTTTTTGTTAAATGTCTGCCCATAGATGGCTCTGTTAGCGCCTGCTTTGAAATGGCGGGAAAAACGTATTTTTCACTAGTGCCATGAATATCGATGGTGTTATTTTTATTATAAACATTATAATTTTTATAATGTTTTTTAACATTAGTAACAGGAAAATAAGATAAGGTAAAATATTTCGTAAATCAAAGAAAAGGGTGAACGGGCGAGACAGGCGGTACTCGTAACTGGCTCATTGGCGATTTAGTACAAGTGTAGCCATCTATGTGTGAAAATCTCACAGTGGCCATGGCATGGCATGCCCGGCGGGAATGGGTTAATGAAGATACTAGCATATTTAAAAAAAATAACAAGTGTATACCAACATGCTTGAACATCTGAGAACTTCCTTTTATTAATTTTCCAAGAAAATTATCATAATTATACCCATATTATTCTTTTACATGTAGCATTTATTGAAGAACTTGTTATACATATTTTACTCTTATTTTTTAGAGATGGTGTGTTTACTATCTATGAACAAAAACAATGACGGCGAGTTTGTAAATAAAAAACAACGGATTATACGGCTTAAAGCGTAATACCAGAAGACAGAAACTCCAACAAGTGATTGGATAGGTGCTCGTCAACACTTGACAGAGAACCAGCAAAATTTTTTGACATGTCAGCTAATTCAAGCAAAAAGGACTTTCCAAATGGGTATCCACTATTACGTAACCTTTCCCCTTTGCCTTCTAAAAAGGACAGTGAGGAATATCATAAAAAAATAAACATGCTAGACAAGAGTTATCGAATGTATGTGTTAATGGTCGATGAAACATCACTTAAAAGATAATTTGATGATCATAAGGGAGACAGTATGGTGACGAAGAAGCTTTTACGGACATTCTAAAGTACCTGCTACACAAGCGTTTACATTTATGATAAACCAAAAAGGTGGGCGGAAACAAACACTGTGATATTTGGAAATTCTATGAAAACATGTGAACAGGTTCTGTTAACTGGAAATTATTATTAAGAATACGTGCGACTA